GCGGCGTACTAGTTCTCTTCTATTATCTATTATATCTGTTTCCGTGGCTAGTGTACTGAATACACAAACAGCGTGTAGCTGAACGCGTCACAAACCCAAACCCAAAACCCAAAAAATTATTTGTTTATTTGTTTATTAGTGGACAATTGACGTTTGCTGTTAGCTGAGTAACTTAACCTGTAAGTTTTTTTATATATTTTGTGCCACTTTTTGATGATTTTTGGATATCTGTTGTAATTTTATACTTTCAAAAGTATGAACGTAAACGAGATATCAATGGAGGTTAATGAGCAAAGTGATTCCAGTAATTCAAGCGAAGACGAAGACCAGGTATGTATTTATTTACTTTTTTATATACATATGCTCATTCATTTCCTATTCAAGACATAACAGAAACTACAACATCGCTTACATTTAATACATCCCCATTTTAATTTTGTTTTCAGGAAATAGTGAATAGAGCTGAAGAATTAGAAAAACAGATATCTTCTAACAAATATCTATATGACTCTCATGTCGAAATTGTTGAAATATACCGCAAACTGGGTGATCTCAAATCATTACGTGAAGCTTACCAGAGGTTTTATGAATATTTTCCACTTACACCAAAGTTGTGGCTAGATTGGCTCAGGGATGAAATTAAAATAGCACAAACACCCGAGGAACATAAACATGTATATTCCCTTTTCGATCGGGCTGTAGAAGATTATTTATGTAAGAGTATTAAAATATGGACCCCTAAAATTACAAACAAGTCTATTCAAGAACATTTTTAAATTTAACTTCTAATAGCTGTTTTACATTGACAATTTATTGATGAATAAATTGACGGAGTTCTTCAAGAATTAATTCACGAATGTATTGGTAAACAGTGTGGCTTTACACTGCTACAGACTGTCAAGTTTTTTGACGCATGAATCAGTTCTACCAATGAATCAAAGAAGCAAATAAATTTCAAAAATGCACCTTTCCACTCATAATTGAAGTGATACAACAGCGGTACCGTTTTGACACATATTATATAAATATTAGTGTTTGTAAGTTACAAATCAGTAAAAACAATGCAAAACTATTACGACGCCACAATTATTTACATATTCCACTAACATAACCTCATTACTGATCTGAGGCTGGAAATCTGTTGGGTTGGTATTTCCGAACTTCACGAAGAAATTGACAAAAATTATAACATGCTCTAATTCGTCAAGAACTTGATGAATAAATTCATGAAGTTATTTGACAGCAGATTTGGGGTATTACACTTGTCCAATTTCTTGATGAAGCGACTTCATGAATTAATTGATCAATAAATTGTCAATGTAAAACAGCTAATAGCAGTTTACCTATGTATTTGTTATCAACTAAATACATTTAAGAATACAAAAATGTATTATAAAGTATGTTTAAAAAATAGCATGCTAAATTCCCCGTGTAGCAAAAAAATAGAAATTTGAAGATACTTACTAAAAAATTATTAAATCCTGCAATAAAATTACTGATCGTAATATTATTTATTCCGATAACAAAATAAAACAAACATGAAATTATAAAAGCAAACGTAAAACAGTGTCAAAAATTAAAAGAATATAACCTTCAAGACCTTATTATTCAAAGAGATTGTTAATCTTGACCATTGTTTGACAAACTGTTTATCTTTTATTAGAAAACGGTTGACATCCAGGCATCCAACATTTTATTTTGAAATTTTCAGCAATGAAGTATTATTCATATACTTAAATAATCACAATATAATAAGAGTAATAAGACTCAATCAAAATTATTATAACTATAATAGCTGTCACAATAATGAAATTCAGTAGATTATGTAAATGTAGTTTAAGTTTTTAGATTTAGGGAAGTCTCTGAATTTGGCCCTAAATCAACAATATAAGGGTTAGAGTGGCTCCCAGTAGTTGCTTGGGTGGTTGTTGGATGGCTGCGGACCGACACATAAGAGTTTTCTGTATATGTTTCCTTTCTTTATACTTGAAATTTACTTCATTAATCTTTTATATTTTAATACATTTAATAAGAGGTATACATTTTTATGACATTCTTATTGGTGGTATTACTCAAAATTTTTCAGGAATTATGTATTTTTAGCTGTTGAACTTTGGATTGAATATGCTCAATATTCCATTGGAGTAAGTAATATACAAACCACTCGTGCCATAATAGAAAGAGGCCTTACTGCAGCCGGCTTGCATGTAAGTGATGGTTCTTTGCTATGGGATACTTTAAGGGAATTGGAGCATGCACATATTTCTCTAACAGAAGAAGGCAGTGAAGAATGGAAAATGCAACTTGGTAAACTGGCTGACGTTTTTAAAAGACAACTTTCAGTGCCTCTTCTGGGTATGGAACAGACATATCACGAATGGCAGGAGTGGTATAAGAATCTTCCAGAGGGATTAATAGACCCAAAACCTATTGAATGGGGTTATGAAAAGGCATTGAAAATAGTCGAAGATTATAAACCATTTGAAGAAAAACTCTTAGAAGCCAAATCTAATGAAGAATTATTTAATACCTACAAAGAATACATACAAATCGTAAAAGACCCATCTACTGGCTTGTGTTTATATGAAAGAGCGGCTGTGACATTATGCTTGATTCCAGAACTTTGGCTTGATTATTGTATGTATGCTTTCCAGTTGGGTGAAACTGCTTTTAAAATTAGTAGCAGAGCTTTAAGAAACTGCCCTTGGAGTGAAGAGTTGTGGATTACCAAACTGAGGATAATGGAACATTTGCAAAAGGATGAAAAAGAGGTACTGGCTTGTTTTGAAAAAGGTAATCAAAATTATTTTACATTTTTTTTTTTTATAAAGAATGCCAATCCAAAACTCATCGACAACTAATACTTCATTGTTCAAATTGCATTTTAAAGTTTTGATTTACAACCCTTAATGTAAAGGGGTTTTCAGTATAAGTTACCAGATTTTGTTAGTAAATGCAATACAAAGCAAATAAGAAAATTATAATATAAGTATGTGTAATAATATGTAATATGATCTACCAGTGGCGGCAATAAGGCACCGCAGACCACGTGATATGGGGAGGCCCAAACAAATAACTGGAAAAGCGAATATTTTTATACTATACCTACTTAGTTTTAAATACCAGTTCAAGTTTTTGTATTAATTGTGTTAATTATGAAATTTGATTATAATAATGTGTAGTAGCGCAAAATACAAAGTAATTCTATCTAATATTGTATAGTTCAGTATAATGCAATACAATGCCCCATAATGTAACTCAATATTGTTTGTAATATGAAAGTTCGTTATTGGATAAAATTGAACTATAGTTAATGAGTCATAGATTAACCTTTATAGGTTATGAGTCTATATGTCTGTAAGTGAGATAAAGACATCCTTATTCTTTGCTGCTTGTTGATCAATAGAAACAAAGTATCAGCTGTGACAACCAAAAACATTCCAATAGTAAACATACAAAATGACAATTAAAAAATTGTGGTCTCTACGAATAATTTAAAAATAAGAATTATTGACTTATGAGTTGATAATTTACAGTTCGATCAGGAACAATTCTGAAGTGCGTTCTCATACTCCGGATTATAGTTCACAATGGTACTTTGGAAGTTTTAATTTAGTATCTAATTTCGCATATCTGCAGATACAATGACAATTCCACAGTGGTTTGGGAAAATAGATTCTGTTGGTGAACTATACTCATGGGGCGACTGTTTAAAAAAGTTTTGTATGATTGCAAAGTTGACCGGCGATATAGAATCGTGGTACAAGTACCAAACAAACGTTAATTACAGTTGGGCGAACTAGAAAGGAAGATTAATTCGTGCATTTGTTGATAACAAAGGTATTGTTGACGAATTAAAAGAATTTGTTAATAAAGAGCGTAAGCATGATGAAGATGTAGTTTCTTTTAATTATTCCAGTAAACATTGTGACTTATGTAGATATCTGGTTGTGGATGTCATTATAGCAATCATAAATAATAACTTGTTAAGGACCAATGCCCAAGCAGCTGGATGTAAAATTACAGAACACCTGCTTAAATTCTTAGTTATGTCCATCTATAGTTCTTTCAGAGATGAACATATTAAAAAAAAACAAACCGTTCACTAGGAGTGACGAGGCTGATGAGCTAAATCAGAAAGTCAAGTGTTTTGTGTGCAATAAGGTGAACCATAAACCTGCGGATTATTTTCAAAATGTTTAAATGGTGCTAATAGAAGGAAATGTACATTATATAAGAAATTAGTACACAAAAAAAAGAAACTTATTTTTGTCTAAAGTTAAACACTACAGACTCGTCAAAAATAATAAAGATATTAAAGTTTATGTTGATTTTAGCAGTGCTTGTAATATCATGAAATTACATAGAGCCATCATCCTTCAATTATTAATTGATACAAGCAACTAAATAAAGATGACGATTGTTAGTATTGATTGATCAAAATCTAATAATTTTTCCCTTATGATAGGTGCTGTAATTGTGTATTTACTAATCAAAGCTAAAGGAAAAATACATTTTCAGGAATTTCAAGTATATCTCCAGCACACGGTTTAGAATTATGGTTAAGTTACTTAGAGTACGTCCATAGGAACTGCAAAGATGTGGAGAAAGAAGATAAACTGTTTTCACAAGCCATACAACAGTTAGAATTTGAAAATGATCCCTCTTACAAATTAAGTAGATGGCATGCCCGCATTTTAGCGAAGAGAGGAGACATATCTACTGCACGAAAAATATGGAATAAAATTGTCCGATACCCTCAAGTCAAAGGTATCATATTTATTTTTAGAAAAAGGATATTTGTACAAGAAGTACCTACAAGAAGAGTTAATTTAAGTAAAAAGTTGCCTATGAATGTGGGTCCAATAATGTTCAATCGAAAAGTTGCAGGGTGAAAGGAGCACTGTTAAACACATTTTTTAAAATACCTAGTTCCAAAATGGCTGGCTGGCAAATGAAACTTGGTATTTTGAATTTATATTAGAGGAAAAACTTCTTAAAGTAAAATGATTTCCTTAAACGAATACGTTTATACTTTATTGACAACTTTTTGTAACTGCAACCGGAAAACAAACATCATAATAATAATCTGTCAGACTTTTGTTTTCCAAGAGTAACTAAACTTTTCATACGATTATTATTGTTATTTAACACCGGCCCTCAATTGAAATGTATTATCATCATAAATAAACATAATACATACAATTGCTGAAACATGAACATTATAATGTAAACTGATTAACTCAGTTAATTTGTCAGACACATTATTACTAAATCACTGGCTTAACAAACTTCGCCTAAACTTGCGGAATTTTTCTTTTCCCAAAGCCTTAGTAAATATATCGGCACAATTTTCATTAGAACTAACATATTTACATTGTAATTCTTTATTTGCATGAAGATGTTTAATGAAATGGTATTTTATTTCAATATGTTTACTTCGCTTTGAGTTTTCAAAATTCTTAATCATTGAAATTGCACTAAGATTGTCAATATTCAATGTAACTGGTTCACATTCACCGAACTCATATAAAATCCCTTTTAAATTAATAAGTTCTTGAGCTGCTGATCCCGCTGATATATACTGGGCCTCCATGTATAGGGCTACACAGTTCTGCTTTTGAGAATACCAGGCGATTGGATTAGAGGCATGAAAACACACAAAACCGCTTACACTTTTTCTAGTTTGTCGATTACCTCCCCAGTCTGCATCACACACACCTTCTAAAACACTTGCAACTCTTATAGTTGGAATTCTACATACTGGAGCATAACTGAATTCTTCTCTAGCATTAGGTACTTTAAAGCCTTTAGCAATTAATCGTGCTTTTTTCGTACCATCTTCCTTTATTTTAAAAATCCATCTTCTCTCTATCGCTTTTTGACCTTTAAGTAACTCTACTGGAGTCCATGTTTGTAATTCTTCATGCGAATTTAATTCTTTACTTATCACTTGTCGCCATTCTTCAGATTTACTTGCTTCTGTACATGTTTTTGTTTCTTCTTCCTCTGATGTTTTGAGTAAACAATAAGCTGAATATATTTCATAATCATCTAACTTTTTTGGTATTTTTATATTTCTTCCTGATCTAGTTGTAGTGTCAACCATTGGTATATAATTTTCATCTTCACTCAAGCTTTGGTCACTTCCCTTTTGTTCTTCTGTCATTTCTTGGTCTTTTTCCACTTCAACTGTACTTCTGCTATCTTCTCTGGGCATATAGCTATTTTCTTTTTGGCTATTTTCTTTGTTCACTTTGTATTCCATAACACTCTCATAAAATCGTATGTCTCGGCTTCTTATAACTTGTCCTTCATTTGGCAACCATAGTCTATAGCCTCCACCACAATATCCTATCATAACTGCTTTTTATTGTTTTTGGATCAATCTTGTTACCCTTTGGTACTAAAGTATACCATGCACGACAACCAAATATCTTCAGTTTACTGAGATCATTTCTTCCATTCCATAATTTTGATGGAGTTTGTCCTCTGGGTAATGCCGATTGTAGGTGTTCTATTTAATTCGTATGTAGAACATTTAAGAACTTCACCCCACAATTCTTTTGGAATGCCAGAATCGATAATTTTTGTTCTTAACATGTTTAATAGTGTTTGATTCATTCTCTCTGATTTGCCATTAAATTGGGGACTATAAGGCATCGTATACTCTAATTTTATACCTTTCCGTTTACAGAAATCTTTAAAGTTATTCGATATAAATTCTCCATCGCTATGTAGTCTAAATCTTTTCACTTTTGTATCATATTGTCTCTAATTTTTGAACATATTCTATCAAGTTATTTTCCGCTTCATCTTTGGCTCTTAAAATCTTGACAACTACAAACTGTGAGTAGTCATCTAAAATTATTTGGAAGTATTTACCTCCATCAAATGTGTTAGGTGTTATCGGCCCACAAATATCACTATGTATCAGTTCACCAATAGCGTGTGAAATTCTTTCATTGCTTGCGAACGAAGATCGTGTGGCCTTTCCTTCTACACAAGTTGAGCATATTTTTTCAGACGATTTAATTCCAAGCTGTAGTAAAGCGTCTTTTTCAGCATGACCTAGCCTTCTATATATCTTCATCTACTGCAACACTGCAATTCTCGTTTCGACTTGTTATACTGTCGACGTTTAATAAATACAATCCATTATATTTTTCACAAATTAAGACAAATTTTTTACCACTAATTGTAGTTTTATCTTTTCCAACTGTTATCTTATGGCCTTTAGCTGTCATTTTTGATGCAGAAAGAAGATTATGTCTTATATTTGGAACAATTAAAGCTTCAATATTTATATTTTGTCTCTGACATTTAACTTTTAATGTACCTGATTTGTTTGCCTTCAAGGTTTCACCGTTTGCGATGTTAATTGACACGTAGTTAGGTAGTGTTTTGATATGATACATATCTTTCTCTAGATACTCTTGTACAAAGTGATTACTTGCTCCAGTGTCTAAAACTAACCTAATTTTTCCTTCCATTTCATTACATATGTTTCCAGCATATAACACTATTGGTTCTTCAACTGTGTGAGCTTCATGTTTCGTATTTATTATATTTTCATCATTTTGATTTACGTAACTTCTGTTCCTTATATAATGATGATTTCTACCTCTAAAATGTCCTCTTTTTTCTCTGTATGTGCCTCTATTTGTGTCTTTATCTTTCGGGAAACGTTCTGGGCACTGTGCCCGAAAATGATATTGACTGCCACATGTATAGCACCCCTTTATTGTTGCCTTGAAGCTTACTTCATTAGTTCCTTGATTCTTACTTTCTTCACGTGACTTGAACTTAATTTCTTCGTCTAATAGCCTAGCACAAAATCCAATTTGACATCTGATACTGTCTCTAACGCTGTCACTGCTGAGTCGTATTTCGACGGTAAAGATAGTAACAAATGGCACACTTTGTCACCTTCATCAATATTTGAACCAAGATCCTTTAGCTCTCTGATTATTGTCAAATTTCAAGAAATGGTCTTCCAACTTTTCATTTATCCCAAGCTTTAAACTGAGTAACTTTCTCCATAAAGATAGTTTTGTAAATGAACTGGATCTGACGAATACACCTTTTAAAGCTGCTATTTGATCTTTTGCATATTCACAATCTTTGTGAACTCTGTGCTTTTGCATCAGCCTTATTAAATCTGCTCCTTACTTCAGTTGTTGTATTATCTCCTGGTGGTCCTTCCAAGGCTTCATTGCACATTTCCCTTTTTAATATGGCCACTATTCTAAAATGCAAGTTGTTAAAATTATTTGCCTCTATGATAGGCACTGTAACACTGTTGAATCCCGCCATGATTTTCTTTATTTTAAACACTCTTCCAATCTCAGTTTTTTGCACTCTATCTCTTACTGTATACGTTTTCAGTTTTTCTCCAACAAGATTTCTTCTGGGCCCATAACCTTTTGAATTTATATTAGAAGAAAAAGTTCTTAAAGTAAAATGATTTCTTTAAACGAATACATTTATACTTTATTGACAACTTTTTGTTTTCCAAGAGTAACTAAACTTTTCATACGATTATTATTATTATTTAACGGGTACGTTTTTAAATTATCAACTGCAATAATCTCATGGGGAAATTCATGTTTTTAAAAAAATGTTTTTTAACCATGTTCATAGGAAACTTTTTGCTTAAAATTATATTTCCTACCCCATGTTTTAGTTTGACATATATATCAGAAAAACCCTGTAATATACTGAAAATTATTACTTTGTGATAAATGTATAACACATTTATTGGAGCTCAATGTTCAGAAAAAAATCAATTCTAGTTTAGCCATCAACTAGGTACTTAAACTGTTTTAAAACATATTGGAGGTTTAAGATCTTGTAAGGATGTACCTAATTTTAATTTTTTTCGGGTCAATATTACTTGAAATATTGAGTCATAAAACAGACCTTTCCACAATCACGTGATATTTGGCAAAAAGTAACTAATAGTTCTTTTGTTATTGAAAAAAAAGTGATATTTTCGTTTTCGTATTGGGTCTGGGAAAAAGTTCATAGTGTTTTCTTAGTAAAATTTAACTGGTTTTCTTATAGTGTGAAAATGAATTTATTTAAATCAAATATGCTCCATTATTATCAACAATGTTTGGCCATTTTTTGGGTAGAGCCATGATGATGGAGTACAATCCCGGTATACCGGAATCCCGCAAAAGATTTTAGTACTGATAAATCAGGATTGCATGAGCGGGATTACAAGGAATATCCCCATTACTTGCTGCCGTTTCTGTGCAACTGCAGACGAACCGATCGCCCGATCTATTCATACTCTTAAGGTGGGCATACACGATTCGACTTGCTGGACGGTCAACCTTCCGGACGCAAACCTGGAAGGCTAACCTGTACTCTCGGCTACAGCATGCACATTATTTTTTAATGCTGGATTTTGTTCAATTTTACAGTAAGTTAGCGAAAAGGTGTAGACATGATCTTGCAATACGATCTTACTTTAATTGGGGTGGCATTTGCTTTGTTGCCTAAAAAACAGAAGATAAAGCGCGAACATTTTAAAAGGGTAAAACAGTGGTTAGTAAATCAACAAGTGCAATTCCCATATGCACTTAATAAACAAATTACGGCTGGAATCTCACGATTATAGGAATTACGAAAATACATATAAGGAATTGCTCAAACTTATTTCTCCATTACTTAAAAAACAAGATATTATAATGAGGTTTGCTATCAATGCCTATGAACGACTAAGTAACTCTCCTCAGGCATACAGGTACGCGAAAAGCATAGCTGGAAGGCAAAATTTCAAGCGCTGGCGCTTCAGATGTTCGGGAAGCCGAGAGTTCAGGGCAGGCCTTCCAGCCAATATACCCACTAACGTGTGCAGGTTTTTTACTTTATTGACCCACTTTTTTTGTCAGTTGGAGTAGTTAAATTTGATTGTATTATTACAGGTTGTGTTTTAAATAATTTTTTTAACACGTAGGTGCTTTTCTACTTTATAGTATGTAAAAACACTATTACCATGGCATGTGTAGTGTACAAAGGATTTAAAAGTTCAAGTCCTGTCTGGGAATATTTTCTTAAATCAGACGATTCACAGTCAGCGAAGTGCATAATATGTAATTCTATATTAAAAACTATCGGACTATCAACAAAATGTTTCCATGTTCACTTGAAAACTAAGCATTCCCATATTAATTTGACAACAAATGTCACTCCATCGACTAAAATCCTACATTACCAACATCAAGTAACAGATGTCCTTTTGTCAAAAAAAACCTAAAATTACACATTTAATAAAAACAATTAAAAATTAAAAACTAATATTTCTTTACCATTTTCAATCTAAATATAGAAAAAGCCAATATTGCATATCAGACAAGTGGGATGCAGCAAATACCAGAATCCCGTAGGAGTGTAATCATTAATCTTTTTAATACCGAGATTATGACTTTATATCGGGATTGCACTCCCTAGCCATGATGCCATCGGTGAAAAACTTCTGTGTTTTCTTAATGAAAAACTGAATCAAGTGGTTCTCACAAGCTTCTTTTGGAGCCAGCTTAATTCCATTTTGAGTTCTGCAAAGATTGGAACAAGTGATAGTCAGGGGGTGCTATGTCTGGACTATACAGTGGATGCATAAAAAATTCTCAACCAAGCTATCGCAATTTTTAGTACGTCATTAAAAAAACGTGTGGTCGAGCGTTGTTATTATGACAGACCATACCTACTATTCAATTCGAGCCATTTTCTTTCAATTGCCTGGCGTAATCTCTCCGGTTGTTCACAGTAGAGTCTACAATTGTCTAACCAACTGGAAGTAGCTCCTGGTAGATGATTTCCTTCCAGTCCCACCACACACACACACAGTATTACCTTTTTCAACGTCAATTCTGGCTTCGCGAATGCTTGTGACGGCTCACCATTCCTTCTCCACGAACTTTGAAGCTTACGATTGTTGTACGTGATCCATTTTTCATCATCAGTTATGACACGTTTCAGAAATGGCTCAATTTCATTACGCTTCAGCAATGCACCGCAGATGTTAATTCGATCTATCATGTTTTTTACGCTCAACTCATAAGCAACCCATACATTGAGACTCTTTTTGTAACCAGCTTTGTGTAAATGGTTTAAAACAGTTTTGTGGTCAATGCCTAGCTCCATATCAATATCGATACTGCTGATATGCTTGTCTTACTGGACATTTTTCGAGAATTTCATCAGCTTTTTCACTTATTGGATGTCGGAAGCATGACATCTTTCACATCAAAGTTACCAGAATGAAAGCGAGTCAACCATTTCCGAGCAGCAGATAAAGTACATTCACCATTCACAGCATAAATTTTTTCACAAGCCTGCGCAGCATTCTTCCTTTTGTCATAATAAAAATTTTGCAAAATATAACGCAACTTTTCATTACTTTTCTCCATTTTTAAATGCAAACAACTTTCAACCGCTGCACCAATTTCGATGTTTATGCAAAGTAACACTTCATCTTTCCAAAAATCGTCTTATTTTGTGATATTATATCATTAACTCAATTTTTTGTACTAACCTCAGCAATTCTCTGTATATTATTAACTCGACTATTTCAATATATGATCCAGTGTCAAATAAAAAATAATAAAAAAAAAATAAAATTAAAATTAAAACATTAGTTAAAAAAATATTGTTGCTTTTGCAATGCCTGCTTAAAATTTTGGTATTTAGTTCTAAAACACCTGTAAATTTATTTGCATGCCATGTTTCGTCCAAATAAGTCCAAAAAAATAAATGTTGAGATATAATAATGCACTTATAATGGGTATCAACGTATGTTTAGGCTGTAACCTCTGTTTTTCACAATTCAATTTTTTTTTGTGAGGGCCAATTCATTTAAAACATTAGTAACAGTTTTTAAAAATTTTATTGGGTATTATTTTATGCAGGAGAATAGAACAGCCGAACAAAAACTTGAAAAGAACATCAGCTATCACTAAACATGATTGTCCCTAATTTTAATATATGTTCAAATATTTTAAAGAAAATGTGATTTTACTATCCAGCACTGTTTTAGGTACAGCAAGTATTTGGTTGCAATATGCAAACATGGAAAGGCAGTATGGTGATTTCAATCACCTTAGAAGTTTATTTCAAAAAGCTCTATCAGTTTGTACAGATTGGCCTGAATATGTTTTCGAAGAGTGGCTGATGTTTGAACGTGAATTTGGGACATTAGAAACTGTTTTAAAGTGTATAGAAAAGAAAAAAAGTATAAGGACAGAAGCTCCAATTCGGCAACAAAACGAGGAGTACCAGAATTTTGAGACAATTCCATTAAAAGGCAAAAAACGCAAATATGACAGTGGTGAAAAAAGTGTTAACATCAAGAAAGTTCGGACCAATAGTGAATCACAAAAAGAGAGCAAAGAGAAAAAGGAAGCTCCACCTCCTGTCACTAATAAACATATTGACAAGGATCCCAAAACAACAGTTTTCATTAGCAACTTGCACCCAAGTGTTGGGGAGGAAGAGTTGAAACAACTCTTCCCTAATGCCACTATTATTAATTTAGTACATGATCACAAAGGCAAATCACGATGCTATGGTTACCTTCAATTCTCCACCGAAGAAGAAGTTATGACAGCCTTAGCAAGAGATCGTGTGCCTTTAGACGGCCGCCCAGTCTTCATTTCAGAAATCAAAACTGACAAAACTCAGAAGAAACCAGTATTCAAATACGAAACAAAAGCTGAAGCAAATAAATTATTTGTGCGAGGATTGCCAAAAAATAAATCAAAAGAGGAAATAGAGGAAATATTCAAGCCTTACGGTTCTATAGCTGTGCGGTTAGTTTTACATAAAAATGGTCAACCCAAGGGTCTGGCTTATGTTGAATTTGAAAATGATGAGGCGGCTAAGAAAGCCTTGGATGCTACTAATCAAATAACGATCGATGGGAATGTTATTACAGTGGCAGTTAGCGCACCACCACCGAAAAAGCCAAGCACCAGTTTTCCTAAAAGTAACGAACCGATCCGACACGCAAGGAGCCGATTGCAGGTACCATTGGTACCGAGAGCTTTACAAATAAAGAGTGCTGAAAGTAACGGAAAAGAAGCAACTGGTAGTACTGTTACTTCCAACAAATCACCTAAAAGTAATGCAGATTTTAGGAAATTATTACTGAAAAACTAGAAATTAAGTTCAAACAGAAATAGACGTGTTTATACAGTAGAATTTTATTTTCGATTTTTATTATAAATGTTGAATTTAAAAAAAAATAATGTATAATGTGTTCAGTATAATGAAATTAATAAAATCCTGATTTTTGTAGAAGAATTTTCATTTTTAAAAATTGTAATATTTGTTTTTAAGGAGGTTTATCTAATATGGAATTGACAAACGCATATTTATAAAAAAAATTAATATAAGCTAACTGAAAAAAAATTCATGTTTTGACCGTGTATCTCGAAAAAGAAAGCCCGGAGAGAAAAATGGAAGAGAAAGAGTATGTTTCTTTTTTCAAGACGAATTTACAGTTTTCCGTTGCGACACTTATTTAGGAACACCCTATATAAGTCACGCTGGGAAATGTTTAGCTAATTTTCCCAAGTGACTTATATGACGTAATACACGAGTGCCATACAAAATTTTATCCAACACTCGTAGAACTTCGTTTTAATAATAAATAAATGTAACTTAAGTTGTCAATGTTAGAAAAAGTAATTTAACAAAATGAATGTATTTTTAAACATTACAAAGAAATGTCATGATTTCTATAACTCACTAGTGGGTTATAGGCCACATTATTCCTTTAAAACCAAAGAAATTATAGTATCATTATATACAAGTGTTGGATAAATTGTCTCTTATATGATGGCACAGTCTGTCTGCTACTAGTATTTTACTGTTACTACTCCAAAAAAATAGTCCTTAGTGTTTTTTCACATTAAAATTACTTCTCATGATGGCGATAGCGGTGGCGTTTGAATGTAACATATAGAAACAAATGGGTCAAAGTCAAAACATACATGTCTCGGTACGAGTGGCTTTTATATTCAAATATAACGCCACCGCCATCACTACCATGTATGTATGTGCAGGCCTTAAAATTCATTACTTTTACTCTTTATATTTCTTTGATATTTCAAACTATAGCAAGGCTACCATTAGACTCATAGAGTAAATGCATGAACACATTTTGTTCTTTAAAAACATGAATTCTCAATGAATAAAAGGCATGTTTCTTCTTAAACATCTTTATTTAACAATTACGTACCTACTTAGGTAGATATATACAAAGGATGACGTCTAACCAAATTCAAAGAATTTTGGTTCTATTTCAGCATTCATATTTACTGGCAGTGAGCATTTCAGCATACATATTTCTTTCTTCCGATTATTTATAAAATTTATTTTGAGAAACAAATCGATTAAGTTGTTCGTATTAAGCTAAATTATGCCCACACTGTTGTACCCTATTTTCAATATCAATTATGTTGAGATATAGTTTAATAAAAAGTAGTAATAAGTTATTTACAACCCAAATATTTGACAAGAACATTTTTTTTTAATTTTAATACCTTGGATTCTAATGTTAATAAATCTTAAAAATATTTATGAAATTTTATAACTGAATACCATTATTTACTTATATTGGTCCCTTCACGAATTAACAAATATGAAATTTAAAAATGTGTTGAGCTTCCTTTCAAAAACGTTCTCATTTCACGAAATGATTTCATCAAAGTTAAAAAACACATTTCGTTAAATAACCAACGGTTATTTCTTGCAAGCGTATCAGAAAAAAACATAACAGTTCTAGTTTGGAAGAAATATGCATGCCAAAATAAAACATAAAATTCTATAAAAATTTGAAATTATATACACTAACATTCGACTTGACTGTCAAAACAGTCTTAAATTAAATTATTACACCATTACTCTATGTAAGTGTCGAGAGTCAAATTATATAACATACTAGCTAATACAGTTTGTCTCTCACAAACAATAATTTTCAATTTACATAGTTTACAAAGGTTTCTTTTATTAAAATTGTAATATATAAAAGATTTCTTATATTTAACTGTAATAATATTCATGTACCATCTACTAAGAAACATTTATGATATACGATATCTTGAAAATGCAATAACAGGTACAATTTTTTAATTCATGACACCTCAGATCGTTTAAATAAGTACAAGGAATTATCTCGTCAAAAATTTGTATTATCTACTAGTAATTAGCCAAATAAAGTACGTCACGGCTAAAACTGGTTCACTGAAATGTATAGTTAGAGCCGATTTTATAGTAAACTAAAATTTAATGGAGCTTTAAAGCATCGTCCCAATATGTTACTATTATTTTTATTTTAAAATCGACTTTAGTGTGATTATGAAATCGGCCCTTGATGCATTAATTTATCTACAATAATGAATAATAGGTACAACAGTACTACAACATATATGTGATATAAATGATTAAAATCATTCATATTCACTGTTAAATGCAGTCTAACATTTGAAATATAATGAAATTATATACTTTTATTGTAAAAAAATTCAATTCCATTAAAATTCAAGATAATCAACTTTTGAATAGTGTCGGCTATTAGCAAATTTTCTCAAATCATTAAGTTGCCTTCTTCAACGGACCATTTTTATTATTTTGACAGAAGTTTGGATTATTTGATAATTATCAAAAACATTTATCCTATTTTACTATATAAAAAAAAATCAATTTAGGAAAACACGCAATAAAAAACTACAAAGCCACAGTTTGACAATTTTCATCAAACTTCTGCCAAGACAAGTTTAACAGTCCCAATACAACAAATTGACGAGACAATTATAAAATAAATCCGACGAAATTATTTGGCTAAATGAAAAATTGAAAATTAACGATATATTCTATTATGGTATTAATATCACTCTTGCATTAACTGAACTCATCACATACTAATCATTAAAATGTGTTGACTAATGTTAAAAACTAAACACTATATTAAGAAAACAAGAAACAACACGATTTTTAACTTCATAAAAATACATTTTTACAATAACAAAACGGTTAAAAATTTTATTGGCACAAGTATTTGCCAGACGACTGGCAAAAAGGGAAACTGGTTTGTTATTGTAAAAAAAGGGATCTTTTTGAGCTCTTATGTAAAGCAAGGCACAATTGGCATAACAGTGGCAGACACTGTTGGAGGCTAAATCTGTGTATCTTCTTGCTCCTTTTCTCTCTGTCTTACAGCTACGGCCGTCTCAACTAGCAAATACAAACATTTGAACTTATCTTTATCTTCCCCTTCATTTGTGAGGGGGTCTGAATTTAACAGGGGATTCACTGGATGTGCCGGCATGACCTGCACTTTAGGATTTGATAACGGATGTGGCAGCTGAGGTAAGTGAGCTAATTGAGGATGAGGAGCACTCCAATAGTCATTTCCAGCCACTTTTTCCTGAGGAGATCTATAATAAAATTTAATATATTACATCTAAAAATTGAAAAATAATAAAAAGCTCTTACCCTCGATTAGCAGGGTGACTTGAATCTTTAGCCACTCCGTATCTGATAACGGTCTGCCATGGTGTAAACTTTTCTTCTTCGCTTGGACTCGAGCTCTCATATTCGTTGGGACTGTCTTCTTCGGACCGATACATCAACGTCATACTATCGTCATAATCGTGATCCAAACGTATACGTTTTCCACCTACAGTTTGTAATTCTCCATTCCAATTGGCTGTTGGCTGCTCTACAATATTTCCTACACCAGATAACTTCTTGCCTCTTCTGGAAATAGTGTAATGCAAAGGATCGTGGCCTTCTCTTCTAATCATTTCAGGTAATATTCTTCTTCTGGCATTTATAAACCAATTACACACTTGCAACACTGTAAGATTAGCCTCCTGGGAAAGGGTAAGTTTTTCTGCATCACTTGGGTAAGCATTGTAACGATGTTCATAGAGCCACCGCTTCAAAATTTTCACAGAGTGTTTTGGTAAATTGCCTCTACGTTTCCGAACAGGGGTACCAATAGCATGATTAGTCATATTTGATATTTGTACTTGCGGTAGGTGATCTTCATGTTCATGATCCGAACCTGATTCATTATCATCTGTACTACTGCTGGACTGGAACCTTTCCCTGTCTGTAAAAAAATTATTCATTTTATCTAATAATGCGACTTGCACACAGGCACAAGATTAAATAAAATCAGTAAATAAATTGTCATAACAACAAGAAACATGTGAGTTTAGTGACAGACAGTTGAAGTTGACAAAATTCTTTGCCAACTTTGGCATTTACCCGCGCTTGTATAGAAAATAGTTTCTTTAGTTTACTCACAGATTATTTCAGGAAACAAATGTTCTGTTGCCATCATAACATTATTGTTAATAACGTAATTCAAATTCAAAACAATATATTTAAAATTTCTTCAAAATCACCATAAAAGTTATCCAACGAATTTTAAACTGTACATAACAAACACGTTCAAATGACACTTTAACTGACAAATGACAGAAATGGCTACCTCGTGGTCGCCAGAAACCGCTTAAAAAATAAAATCAAAATATGAATTAATACAAAAGTTCAAAAGTACTAACTGTTTCTAAAAGGTTCCGCGACAAAAATGGAAATTTATGAGCTGAGATTAATTATGCATTACTTAATTTAAATAAAATAGGGTACTTACGAACTTTCATTTTCATAGTTGACAGCTAGCGTCAAACGAATATTTACGTAACAGCCTTTATTTACAAATTATTTTTATCTATTTCACCTTATTTTTAAAATACAAAAGACTATTACACTTTGTTTTTATATATGTATATTTTATATCCGAAGCAAAACTAATAAAAACGACTATGAATGAAGTATCGGCGCCGCACGTTATTAGAAGTCAATATAGAAATAACATACCCGGCATTTCTATTTTTCCTCTTCACAGGTAAAACAAAACAAATATATACACCAAGCTGTATTATATACTTAATTTAAAAAACGTATACAACACGAATCAAAATAATATTACTAAATATACCAAACTAATTGTCACGCGTGCTATTAAATGACAGTTTATGGCGGTCAAACAAGTTGACGGCTTCGAGACCTGCGTATTAACTACAACGGTTGTTGTTATTTGATTCAAATTTTGATTGGACAAGAAGCTGACCCGAATAAGTTTACTTCCGTTTTAGCAAAGGCGCCATTTTTTAAACTATATTGTAATAAATCTCCAAAAATCAACATGTTTACAAGAAAAAATATTTTCAAACCTGTTTTGTAGAAGCTTATAAAAAATAATTACAAAATTATCATGATTTATTAAATTATTTACAAGATAATTGGTAAATTGTTGTCTGCTATAGTAACAGTTTAGGACTACTTTATGACTTATTTCATATATATTTTTTGAAAATTTGGCGCTTATTGCTATAAAAGGAAACGGAACTGCTAATGAAAGGTCAAATGCGTCAACTGTTATGCGCCATTGTCAATCTGGCATTTAATGCGCGTAGTACCGGTTTTTCGTCTTCTCTCAGTTCTCTCACATATTTTGCAAGTGTTTTGTTTTCTTGTAACATATTTGACTCGAATGTGGCAAAATTGTAGTGAATTTCATTTATTAATTACATCCATAAGTATAGCAGCTTACTTAACAACTTGAAAAAGGATTTTAAAGGTAATAGAAACGTCCCCTTTGTTTCTTAAAAAATGTGTTAGTACAAAATGGAAAGGCTCAAACACGTGGACTATTTTAGAATTGCATGTTGTTGCACTTGTTTTTAGTAAACTTTATTTTAATCTAAATCTAAATAATTCTTTATAATTTCTTAACAAAATTATAAAAATTCTAGAATGTATAAATATTAATTTTTTTGATCAACTTTTAATTACACAAAGTAATTTTAATATAATCCAAAACCCAAATATAATTTAATATTTTCAATCTTATACCTTTTGCTTCCATATCTAAAGACATAAATTCATCTGCTTTGTTTGTATTCTAGTACAACAAAAATCCAATACTCTTAAATTATAGGTATTTAGAGGTGTTTGATCTTTGATTTTTTTTTTCTTAAATTATATAGTGTTTACTTTATAGGTTAAGATATTAATTACTATTAAAGATATCTATGAATTTTTCTTAGCACTTGGATACGTCATGTAATTTACACTAAAAAATATGTTCAAAGGACGAACAATGAACAGATGAATAAATACCTACACAATTGAACAATATAGTGCTCTCAAAAATAATTTAATTATTTAATTATATTACTATGAATATACAGTATGTTGAGAAAGATTCTAATAGAGGTAGGTCAAATATCAAGATATTTTTAAAAACTTGTTCCTCATTGCATGTCTCCAGCAATTTTTATTTGGAAAAAGTTACTGTATTTTCTAAAAAAAAAATGTGAATTTCTGATCCTACAATAAGAAATTCTAAATAAATATAAAAAGAAATATCTAGGTACTTACCTAATATTTTTTGTCTTAGCTTCTATAATTTTTTTTGCTATGGGGTATTTTACCACCTCTGAAACCAATTAAAATATAAATAAGCCCGCAGTAAAATATTTTTTTTTAATTTTGGACATTACAATAATTAATTGTATAGGAGTAGTAGTTAGCACTAAAGCAAAACTACATTCTACAATATGCACATAATGAACTTATGATGGTGCACAGAATTTTTTGTATTATAACAGCATTTATCAGCTAAATAATATTTAACACATTTAAAATGTTTTATGTGCCTCATTTCCTTTAAATAAGAAGGAAGTTTGTTAAATATTTGGAACCTCATATTGGTTGGTGAGTAATACTTGTATATTTACAAAAAGGTGTATTTGTCTAATTTTATGAAAGATATAAAAGGATCTTTACAACAATCATCATAAAGCTGAACATTAAAATGTCACCTAGATGTTGTGACCCTATATATTTTTTATATATCGCAGAAATTTCGACTGGAACTACATATTGTAGCTCCTTCCATGCCATATAACACAAGAGCTCTTTTCTCTTATTCATGATTTCAGAATCATAACGTGTTACGATCCGAAATCTAGCAACCTGATTGGTTTGCATCGGATCGTAACGTGTTATGATTCCGAAATCATGAATAAAAGAAAAGGGCTCATATGAACAGCTTCATTTATTAAACACAACATTTCAGCATTGAGGTTATGTACCATTTGAGTGTTGTGTTGATGTGTCATGTTGATATCGTGTAACATCATGGGAATACAGCCTTTAACTTCATTTCCTGTTCTGAAAAAAAAAAAACAAAATTTGTGTTATGTTTAAGTCAAATGTATATAGGAACAGTGTGAGGTTAGTAGTATGTGACAAATATTGTGTATAAGAACAAACTCAATTCTGTTTATATTTTTCAAGAAATAATCATTCTGTAAGCAAAATTTCTTGGACATTCCTTCATCATTTAAGAACTATGTAATTAAATTTTGTTGATCAATTTGATTTAACTATTATTTTTGACATATCAATTTTTTGGTTTTATTTTATATCAGATGGTCTTGATCTTGAGTAGAGTGTATCAGTCTTTGGTCATGAATTAAAACTCGATAAGTTTCACATTTCCAAAAATTTTTTGATGAAAACTGAAATAGGTATAAAGGTTATAAATATTGCAGTAAAGATTACATTAGTGTTTAGATTTAGATTATATTTCGCTACATTAATTTTCAAATACTTCTTTACTAGATAGACTCGTCAAGTCTTAATCACTGTAACTGTAAGGGTTTTATTTAAATAAGTGAAAAATAAAAATAAATTTTCTTTTATATCTGAAAAAATAGCAATACACTTATTGCTTATAAAGAAATAGTAATAGTTGCTCCTAAATTGGTTTGGTTTTATTTCTGATGTTAAGTGGTTGAGGGGGCCAAAAGACAGTACCATAGGCATAACTTGTTAAAAATTGCCAGCCAATCCATTATGTTCCTGGATCTTGCTTATCATTAAAGACAGACCTATCAAGCCTTATACAGCAGAAAATAGTGGTCATGCAGTACCCATAGGTTCCTCAGGAAAAAAAACTGAATTTTAAGTCGACTTATCTTAATCCAAAAATGTTTAATTTAAAAGTTACATGGTGTTAAAATATTACTTTTGAAATGGTTTATCATTAACATCTGGCAACCGACAAATCATGTCTTTTTCAAATTAAGTACACATTATAAAGGAGCAGAGCGCAGGAAACAAAAAAAAATCAACTTCAAACATTTTATTGTAGATATCTGATGAAAAATATAAGATTCCATATGCTGCTACGAAAATAAAAAAGAAGTTAAGTTAAGAAGTTACTAAATTGACTGTATCAAGGAGACGAAAGACTTTAGCACTTATGTTTATATAATCTTGTCCCTTTAAAGTAATTAATCTATTGTTACAAAACATGTTTTTACTGTAGGTACATTAATTCATCACAGGCAGAAACTGTGAGGATCCCAAAAAAAAATATTTTCCTAATCATTTCAAAATTGCACAATTTATTCAAAAGTTCATACAAAGTTGCTAAAATCTGCCTTGCGACATAGTCAATTTAACATATCTTAAGCTTTAAGATATTTCAAATCAGCAAATTGTATCTTCCCTTTTTACTTCACTTTTAAGAATGATTGAAAGCATCTTTGTGTGGAATCAAAGAATCATTCAAAAATTCAGTCATTTTAGTAAAAAAATCTGAAAATAAGGAAAATATTTCCAAGAAGAGGCTACCTTTCTTTCCCCATTCGCCACTGCTGCAAACATTTGGAAATGATTTTTATTGCTTCCTGCGCCTTTTGTAGCAAATTTGATTCAAATATATGTTAAATATCGGATGTTAGTGAAAAATCATTTGAAAAGTAAGGCTTAAAATACTCTGTAACTCTCTCTGTAACTCTTTTGAACAAAGCGTTTTTGAACTGAAGTCACTTGACAATTCAATTAATTTTATCTGAGACCTTATATAGACATAATTGTAAAGCCATCTGCGGTCTGTATCTGTATTTGTAACATGTATTGCTCCGATACAGTATCGACTCACAATGTGTACGCTAAGTGTGTATCGTACTGCGATCATCTATATCCACAGTGTTCGAAGAACGTTCGTCGTAAAAACATGTTGTCTCCATACGAATCTATTATGATAGCTTATATACTAATACATAATGTATATAATGGAAGATTCCAAACGTCCATGAAGATTTTGGAAACATATTTTGTACAAAGAAAGAAGCGGGGTTGCATTATTTTCAGATTTTAAATTTCAATCAGCGGACATTACAAAAATTTTACACGCATGCATTCTTCAGATTTTGAATATTTAATTAATCTGGTGGGACCAAGAATTCAAAAAAGATGTACTAAATTTAGAGTACCTATTTCAGTGCAAGACAGATTAGCTGTGACGGAGTTTTTATTTTTTGGATCCCACGAAATTGGGGTATTTTTGTACTCTTCGATTAAATTTAAACACTTTTCTTCACTCCATCCATGGTCGCACCCAAAGTTTGCAGAATAACCGCAATGGTGATTGATACACTGATACATACTAACTTGTGCTCCCACTACGAACCGTCCACACTACTGCTCCGCTCCTCTTGGTGTTCGCGTGTTTACCAACAGACACTCGGATCCTATGACTTTACATTTTCTCTCCTACAGTGAAAAATAACGCGGAAAATAAGGGGCATGTTATATAATTTCTGAAAAATAATATTCCATATGATATATTTTCAAAAGAAATAAAATAGCCATATTGCTATGTTGAAAGTGGAGTTCTATTCCTTTTTCAAGAAAGGTACATAGGAGTACAATCAAGAAACATCAACTCTTTCAGGCATAAGAAAGTGATAAATGAACCATTAAATTTCTATTAATATTGCACAGTGGCACAAATGGTGTACCACTTATCACAGGTCATATATCTAGTTGCATATCAACATAAAATATAAACAAATTCAGTTACCATGCCATTTACAAGCATAAAATAAGCAGGACCTAGTTATTCTGCCGAAAAGGTCACATTAACTTAAAACAAAATTGTGAAATAATAATATCCCAAAGAAACAGTCTGTAATAATTTATTTGTGGCATTTTTTTGTTACCTTTTATTTAATTAGGTATTTCTGCTACACTAAAAAAGAAAAAATAAATAAGAAGAAAGATTTCAATGGATTTTAAAACAAAGCACTTTGAGCAGAAATGTACTAAAAAAAAATCTGTAACTAGTTGAGTTATATGAAATGTAAACTTTTTGTTGCATTATAGTTATTATTATGTCATCTTCCTCATATTTCTGGTTAGCCAAAACTAAATTATTAAAATCAACGCTTTCACTGATCATTTGGTGCAAAGGGTTAATTATCTATTTTTTTCCTTTTCAACAGAAATACCCAATGAAATAGAAAAGAGTCACTAAAAATGTCATAAATAATTACTGTATACGTTATCTAGTCATTGTTATTTTTGCAATTTTTATTCTAGGTTGAAAATGAGTTCAGGAAGCATATGCTACAAATGTAACCAACCTGGACACTTTGCTAGAGAGTGCTCACAGCCAGGTGGACGGGATGGGGGTGGCAGAGGTGGTTACAACAGGAATCGTGAAAAGTGCCACAAATGTAATAAAATCGGGCATTATGCTCGTGACTGCAAAGAAGATTCCGCTCGTTGTTATCGTTGTTATGGTGAAGGTCACTTTGCCAAAGACTGCCTCCAGAGCCCTGATATGCCATCCTGCTATAACTGCAGAAAACCTGGTCATATTGCACGCAGCTGCCCTGAGTCTGGTGGTATGGATAGAGTAGCCAACGACACATGCCACAATTGTCAACGGCCAGGTCACATTTCTAGGAATTGCCCGGAGAATACGAAAACTTGCTATTTATGTCACAAACCAGGTCATCTGAAGCGAGATTGTCAGGAAAATGATTACAGAAAGTAGTGCCTGATACTACTTTTTTTATTCATTTGTTGTATTTTATATATATATAGGTTACAAAAATAATTGTCTGTTTTCTCAAAGAAAATATTGTTAAAATATGTTTCTTATTTATATTGCAAATTGTTTTCTATGTGTTTTATTTTTGTAGGACTAGCAACAAAGTTTTAAATGTATCCCGAAATACAAAAGTAACTATATAAAATATTGTGATGATTTGATGTTTTTTTTTTTGATACCCTGGTGAATTTGGAAAACATTTACAAGAAATTCAGCAATTGCATAATACAAAATAATGTCGCTTTGAATTTAATTTTTATTGATAAGCAGAACTTGTTAAATATAAATAATTGAATTTCTGCTTAAAATAAATGTTTAATCTTTTAATATCACTGCTGATAATCAATAATAAAATGATTGTCAGTACAACTGTTTTTCTGTTTTTTAAGTTATATATTAAGTTGTGATAAAGATTGCTGACTAGAAAATGCAAAACGAAAAATAATAAATATTCGAATTTTAAAATTTATCGTATTTGAAGGCAAAAATATTTTCGGTATTCAACGTGGCAACTAGCAACTCGATAACACCGCTGATGCTTTAAGATATTGATTAATCTGGAAAAATTGCATTGAACTATAGCTACATACAGCTAAAGAGCGTATTTTAGCGACTTTTAAATTGTTTCTGCGGAATTTATTTTCATAATTTTTGCGGTCATGTTGCAAATTACGAGAAACCTATTAAAAATCGGACAATTTTCTAAACTGCTATTAGATGATTAGATCTGTACTGATTCACAGAACAGAAACAAGAAAAATTTAAACTGACGGCTTGTTGACCACAACACAAGAAAAGAAGGTATGCTATTTTTTGTTACACTTAGGATAAAAGTAGGTTTAAATTTCAGTAGATAAAACTAAAACCGATATCAAAAGTACAGAAGCTGTGAAACAGAAGTACGTATTTCGGAACAGTTTATCCCTTTCCTAACAAAAACTGGCGCAAGGATTCTAGATCTTGGCTTCGGCCGCGATCATCCCTATATTATAGGCTTTTTTCGCGAGTGAAGTCGTATGTTGTAGTATGTATAGTATGAGTGAAAGAAGAGATTTAAACTACCATATGGCAATTAAGATCAAAAGAGATAGTAATAATAACTACAAGTCAGATATTCACCAATATTCAGTCGCTAAAAAAAGCCTTATATGTTTTGTGGTCATCCCTACCCATAGTTCGTAAAAATGCCGGTCGAGTAATAGACAGAAATTATGGGCGTGGCTTATCTCATACTATGTCACAAAATTTCTAACCTTTAGGATTCATGTTTGTTTACGTGCGACTTCACTAGTAATTTTGCATTTTTCCAAGTATTTAAGTAAATCTTTCATAGTTGTTTGGGTATTTTGCAGTAATTAGTTAGTTACTGATAATAGTTTTTAATAAGTTGATGGTGTAGTGCATGGAGACTAGCCTCCATGGTGTAGTGTTTAATATAAATCATTAATTTACCACGTAAAAATTCCAGGAGTGAGGCCGGTGTCCCATGCATCCGAAATCCGACGATACGAAGGTCCAAAAGTGTTCCTATTG